AACGAAAATATGAACAGAAATAGTGAATAACAATAAAATATTTTTTTACAAAACAAAAGCCTTGCATAGTTTTGTCGGGGTAGAATTAAAAGAAGGTAACCTTAGGTTTACAACATTTATTCAAAATTATGCCTTTTGACAACAATTTATTGTCAAAATGTATATCATAAATCCATTGTATGTACACAAATCGGAGATGGAAAAACGTTCTTGTAATTTAAAGAGCAGAGTGAAAGAAATTCTCTCATAAGATTTTTTTTTTTTCGATTGAAGCAAAAATTAAATTTAGTTAAGGACGGAAGGCATATTGGATGTAGCTGGTGTTCAAAGTTAGACTTTTAATTTTGTTTTTAAATTTTATTGAATGAAAGCAAAAAACGTCGAAAATAGCATCAAATTTTAGAATAAGTTTAGATTTGTTCGGATTGGTCACCCTTGGTACGAATTATGGCCTTCAAACGGCCAATGAAACCGTCACACGCTACCCAATGTTGCTCTGCGGTATTTTGGCCCATTCCCGGCGAAGCGCTTGCTTGAGGTGATCGACACTTTGGTAATTTTTAGTGCCAACCTTGCTTTCCAAAATACTCGAGACACAATAGTCCAACGGTATACGGGAATTCTGGTAGTCGTTGTGCGCTGGAACCTCATTTTGTACCAATTCTTTGGTGGCGCGTACTGAGTACGATGGTGCTGAGTCCTGTTGGAATGTCCAAGGTTTGCGGCCAAAATTTTTGTGTGCCCTAAGCATTAATACACCCTCCAGAATATTTTCGCGATTATATTAGGCATTTATTCAGATAGCACAGTCGATTAATACGAGCGGAGAGCGACCATCGAGTGTTATGACAGCAACTCTTTAGCTCTTTTGAATCTATTTTCTTTCTGCTGCGGTGTAAGTTCAGCACTTTTTGGAATTTCAATGGCTTTACCACGATCTCAGTTTTCAGCTCAGTTCAGCTCACGAGCCATTTTTCGGCCACTGCGACGCGGGTTTCGATCAAGTCGTTTCTATACTTTTCGAACCATTTCTGCTGATGTTGCTGTTTTCATCCGTCCACTTCCTTGACGTCGGGCTACGCTACCAGTACCACGGTAACGAGCGATGGTACGAGACACCAAAGATTTATTCACATTTAAATTCTGGAGTACTCTAACGATACACACTTGTGGTTTTCCAGCCAAATATAAAGAAATCACACTATCACGCTTGGACATCACTAATAACTTTTTTCTGGAAAATTCTCACCAAAATACTTTTGTACGCTTGTAAACCGTATAATGAGTTGTCACTCGAATAATTTTAATAGCTGTCGGACGAGTGGTTTAGAATGACAGCAGTCTGATGTTGGTTGCATTTTTTTTCATCTCGCCCATTAGTTAGATATAAGCCAACTGCAATGGTGCCACATTTCCGAACTTGTCCATCACAGCATACCCCGAATAGGCTATAATTGGTTATCCTTAACAATACTCTTGTCTCCAACCACTATCAACATATTTAGTACAGCATGGCGCGAATATTTAATTCTCATATCACTGTTTTGGATGGAACAAAAGCATAACGATACAGTTTAAATAAAAACAAAAATAATGCGTTTTTCGAAAATATTACCACATTGGCTGTGAAGCCGATAAGTAATCTCCCAAAAAAAAAAAAAGAAATGGCAGATTAAAAACGCATTATGCAAGCAATAAAGAAATTTTATAGAAGAGAACTCTTTCAAAATATGGAAATCCAAAAATAAAAAAGAGTTTATCAGTCCTCCAAAAAAATACTTTGTAGATGTGATATTTTTGCGGTTCTCGAAAAGTTGCACAATTTGAATTTGTAAAAATAAAAATGGGTTCTTTGTTTTTCTATTTGTTTCATAACATATAAAAAATACTAACAATGGTATAAGACTTTAAAATAACTATGACACACTATTTATGAATAAACCGCAAACTCATCCTACAAGGACATATAAATTTGATAAAATAAAAAAAGATAGGTTTGGTTGGTACTTTTAACCTCTCTTGTATTCATTGTACCACATACCTTGCTTCCATATTCCAAAGTTTTTAGAAAACCTTTTAACCAAGAAAATTGTTTCAACATTTGATATAATGCACAATATGCCTGGAACTTTATCAACAGATTTGCTTAAAATAGTTGTTTATCTTATGTTTCAACAGGGATATTAAAAATAGGAAAGAAAATTCTTTTTGAGCTATTTATGTCGACAAATCGTTGCTCGAGCAAATTAATTTGCATTTTGGGTGTTCGACAGGTTCGCAACACAATTGGCCACACTTCATTAGCCAAAGTATGAAAACATTATCTCATGGCCATCAACACCTGCTACGCCAATACGAGAACCTACATACATACTCACGCACGCAGATAGACCGGCGTTCCGCTGAGATAATCGCGTGTAAATCAACTGATGCGTGAGTACTCCCCGAATTTTTTCTTTGTATTTTGTGAACAGGCCTAGGCAAATATTATACAAGGCGAAATTTGCATATGAACACATTTGAGCATCAGCTCAAATTCATTTGATAAAATTGAATCTGAAAGTTGAGTGGAATTCCTGCCGTTTTTCCATAACCATAAGTACCAACAAAAAATCTTACTGAACATTTTTAAGAGAACACGAATTTGGTAGCAACAACACCAGACTACTTTTGGCGATTAAAAATTGTGCGTTGCAGTCTCTTTAGTTCACTCTCTTAAGTTCCTGATTGAAACCTCGATATATGGAGAATTACTTGTATTTATACCCTACAACACAATGTGTTGGGGGTGTTATATGTTTGAATGGGCCAACAAGTTTGTAACACCTCGAAATATTGGTCCAAGACATAGGAAGTTATGTATCGATCTTCCTATCTCGCCGAGCTGAGTCGATCTAGCTATGTGTGTCGCATTTATGGCCCGATCCTATGGCCCCGTAATTTGACATGGAGGTAAATTTAAAGTCAGAATAGAAGCCTGTTGTTTTTGGAGATAATCGAAATATTGTTGGGACCAAAAACTGAAAAATTACTGATTTTGCACTTGCTAACAACTCCAAAACGGCCTCTCGAGCTAAAGGTAAATAACAATCGACACGGAATTTTACATGAGGTTAAAGATTTAGACGAAGGAATGTAATAATGACAATATCCTGTTAATTAAAATGAAAATACAATTATTTGTTTTATATTATAGGGTTGTAGGGTATCAGGTGGCCCACACGCATATAGCCTTTGCTTACATGTTATACCCTCCACCTTCAAACTTTGTCACTCCGTTTTTAACATCCCTAAAAATCTGTCCTAGACCTAGTAAAGTATATATATTCATGATCAGCACAAAATTTTAACGATATCTGTCTGCCTGTCCGTCTGTCTTTGAAATCACGATACAGCCCACATTATTTGAAGTAGGGCTTCAAAATTTGGTAAAACAATATAACGGTATTCGGTGTTTTAATTATTTTCGCCACATTTTTTCACGGATTGTGGTATTTGTAGTTCGTAATGGGTTCCAGCTTCGATGGCGGAGCATTGTGCATATTGGTCCACGTTTTCGTATAGCCCCCATATAATCTACCTCCCGACATTCAGTATTTTGATGGCTTTAGCTACTTTTTTTACGTTTTGTCCAAAAATTGGTACTTGTAGTTCGAAATAGGTTTAAGCTCCGGTGGCAGAACATTGAATATCTGGGTCCATGTACCAACCGATATTCGATATTTTGATGATCCTACCCACGAAATTATTTCAAATTTGGTTTTTTGACTCGCAATACATAAAAATCTTTGTAGTATAAAATTGTCTATATAGATTCCCGTTTTGGTATGGCCCGCATATAACGGCTTCATCAACTTTATGTTTTTTTTTTTAGTTTAACTGCACTGTTCAAAAGGTCTTACTAGTATTTGTAGTTTAAAATGGAACACTTTGAATCTAAATACTTTTATATAAAAAATGTTTTCTTTGCTCAAGGACCCGGCCGATCTTAATGTTTTTTTACTTGTTTTTGTCTACGCTTTTACCCTCAGCCATAAAACGTGCCTCATCGAATTAACGTTTATACACCCTAGGTCTCTCTGAACATTTGGAGTCGGTGTTTTTCCGTCTGCCTGTTTGTCGTCTTTCAGTCTGGCTGGTGCGCACGAAAGGAGTATCCAATTTTGTCCAAACTTGGTATAGCGTTATATTATTTTGAAACTTAAGTCGAGTTGGGAGATTGGCAATATCTCCTTCTGTTACCACCCCCACAAAAGTTCAAAATGTTCAAAGAAAATTAATTTGTCTTATAAAAAAAAGGATCCTCCGATTTCGTGTAAGCTTGTGCAAACTAATGCCCCCCACAAAGGGTCAACATTTTGTATAATATTTATCAACACAAGATTTTGGTACCTCTTCGACAAAGGATCATATTTTTTAATTTACAAAGAAGATAGCCGATGACTTAAGCCAGTCAAAAAAGGCATTTTATATATTCTCACCTTTATTCCCTATTCCATTGTGCGGCAGTGTAAAAACTCTAAGTTGTGTGGTATGTAAATTCTATGGCATTTAAGTGTAAACAATGTCTGTATGTTTGTGTGTACGTGTCTGCCTATAAATTTCTGGACATAACAACCACAAACTGTAAACTGATTACCAAAACAATAATTCTGTTCCAAAAGTAACAAAAACAAAAGCGGCAACACAAATAATCATCCAGCAATGAGATGCTCTCTCTATCTCTCTTGTCTATGGCACTGCACTCCAGCCAGCGTTTCTCTGGATTTTGGCCATCCAACAAAAATGAACGCGATTTCGTATTAATAGCTGTTGAAAGGAATATGAACAATTTGAAACGAATTACCATGGTAAGTGCTCTCCTCTAGTATGGAAGGGGGTGGACGGAGTTGCTTCCCAACGTATAGCGTTTGCGCTGCTATTCCTTTCAGATCCGACACAACCACACAGACACCAGCAACCAACCGAACGAAGTGTGGCGACTGAGCTTTAGTCGATTTTGTGCTCTCATCATTCATTGTTTGTTCTGCTCTCGATGCTATCGGTTCGTTGTAAACTTCGATTTTGCCGCCATATCCTTTGTACGGTGCAGTGAAGCAGCAAATCTCTGCGGAAATTAAATAAACGGTTACGCCTGGCTATTTTGAACGTAAAATTTGAAAAGAAAATTGAATTAGTGTCGTGCGTAATTAGTTGAAATTGGTTTGAACAAAAGTGATAAATACAACTGATTTCTGATAATTAATTTGAGGGGGGGAAATGCAATGTGAGTTAAGTGCAAGTCCTACATTCTGTCAAATGGAAACTCAACAAGTGTGAATTCAAAACTGTGAATAGCGACGACAAATGCGAACAAGTCTTTTCTACGCAACTACATGTGGAGAAATGTGAGTGACTTCTATTTTCATTTGTTCGAAATCAGTAGAACAAGACATTAAGTTAAAGAATATTTTGTGCATTATTTGAGATCAAGATAAAATCAATAAGGCCTACATACGGTCGGATATAAAGACTACTTTTGACAGCAATTTGACAAAAAAAAAACTTAGTAGTGTTTTCATTATTGTGATTTGAATTACAACCGATTTCATGGTAATTGGGCACCAAATATGCAATATCAGGCCAAAGTGCTTGGATTTTGGCATATTTAGCCGGATTTTTCTGATATATACTTAGTCAATAAAATCCTTCTCGAAGTCATATCATAAATACTATAACAATGTTAATTTGATACGAGAGGTACAAATGACTCCGTCAAATAAATTGGAAATCGATTCCAAATTATAACTGGTCTGAAGCAATAATACGCAACTAAAAAGATTATAGTTGGTATAATCTACTTCATATAAATTCCCATTATAGTGGTGTATGGTATCATATAGTCGTTGCGGCCCGACTTTTGACCTTCCACTACTTGTTTTAAATGTAATGATTGATATTTTCACACTCGCCATTATACCCTCAGTCATGTGGCTAAAAGTACCTTATCGAAATAACGGTTTTAGACACAAGGTTTATTGGAACCAAATTCTTTTCAGGACATTTAGAGTCTGTCCGTCCGTCTATCTGTCTGCCTGTCTGGCTGGTGAGAACGATAACTCTTAAAGAGAGTATCCGATTTGGTCCAAACTTGGTACATCGTGATATTATTATCAAACATACATCGAGTTCGAGAATGGGAATATCGGGCCACTCCTTCTGGTACACTCCCCACAAAAGGTCAACATTTTCAAGTAAGGATCATCCTTCAATCTTTGCAAAGTACCACCAATTACCTCCCTCACAAAGGGTCAACATTTTGAACAATTATAACTCTTATAAAATGGTAAATAAGCACCCGACTCTCTTTAAATTTCACACACCTCAATATTTTTATTAACACAATATCTGGTGTAAAGATAATATATATAGGTCCACTTTTTAACAACAACGGGTCACAATTTTAAATAATAATTTCTTTTATAAAATGCGAAACAAGCACCCAATCTCTTCAAATTTTACACATCACAGTAATTTTACCAACACAAGATCTGGTATGAAGAACGGATAGAATGTAAAAATTTAGAATAGCCATTAAGATCGTAAGACACTAAATGAACATCCGGATTCTTTCTAAATCAGCACATCTCAATATTTCTATCACCACAAGATCTGTTGGGAAGATGACAGCGCACTTCTTCTGGTACTCCCCCACAACGGATCAATATTTGCAATAACCCAAACCCTCATAAAATGCAAAATATGCATCCCAAGATTTTTACCATTACAGAAAGATGGAATATAGGTTCTGATATCTTCCCCAGGGTCAAGATTTTGAATAATTATATCTTTCATAAAATGGGAAATAGGCATCTCATTCTTTTTAAAATTCGCACATTCCAATGTTTCTGTCAACGGAAGATCTTGTGTGAAGATGATCGATATCGGCCCAACCCTTCAGGTACCTCTGCCACAAAGGGTCACAATTGTTAGTATTTATATATTTCAGCGACTTCTTTCAAACTTGGTATATTTAAATATATATTTCTCTGTTGTCCCACTCCTTGTGGTCCTTTTCTGCAAAAGTTGAATATTTTGATTGAATATTTTGATTATGGAAATAAATGTTTTCCTTTAAATTTTGCACATCTTAATATTGGTATCAGTATTAGATAAAGTGAAATACTTTGGTCCGCTATATATGGTAACTCACACATACTATAACATATTTCATAAATTATCTCAAATCTGTTGTGACATATATATTAGACTTAGATCAGATACGAATGGACACTAATGACCCATTTCATCGGAACTTCTTCCATAAAAGGGTCATCAGTTTATATAATCATAACAAAAGGCTGGGGGTATACATCTGTCGGCAAACGCGATTCAAACTATTTAACTTGATAATTGGACAAATTTGAAAAATTTGGGAATTGATTTGACTATATATTTGAATAATCCAACCCTCTCGTTTGGAATCTACCCGGATTTGATTTTTTTTTCTTTAAGCTTTATTGGCCTTAAAAGCATATAGCGTAAGCTAATATCGAAATAAAGGAACCGTAGTGGCTGGGATACAATTACTCAATAACATGTGCTATATTTGGATTCAATATAGTCGGCAAATAAAGGGGGTTTTTTAAGCCCGATAGAACTTGAAATTGTAAAAAATAAAACAAAAAATTATATTTTAATCAAAAAAAAAATGTTTTTTTTTTATTCGAAAGATCAATACCTGACATTAACATTTGAAAATGATGTCGGGCATATGGGCACCACAGCTGTTATTGACGTAGTGCATTCTGGACGTCCAATTTTTGGCCACTTTTTCGAGCACTGCTGACCGTATGTCACAAATAACACGAACAATGCTGGCCTCCAAGGCGTCAATTGTTGGTGGTTTATCAGCATAAACCAGTGACTTCACGTAGCCCAACAGGAAATAAATGAGAGGTGTCAAATCGCACGACCTTGGAGGCCAATTGACAGGTCCACTTCTCGAAATCAACTTATCGCCAAATTTTGATTTCAATAAATCGATGGTTGCGTTCGCCGTATGGCACGTAGCGCCATCCTGTTGAAATCACATCTCCTCCGGATCAATTTCATTCATATTTTTAAACAAAAAATCATTGATCATGGTGAGGTAACGACCTCCATTTTTGAAGAAATAAGGCCCGATGATGCCACGAGCGTGAAAACCGCACCATACAGTGCATTTTTCTGGATGTAATGGAGTCTGTAGGGTCTCTTGTGGATTGGTCTCACTCCATATGCGGTAATTTTGCTTATTAACAAACCCGTTAAGCCAAAAATGCGTCTCATCGCTGAACACAATTTTGTGATAAAACAACGGGTCCTGATCCTGATTTTCAAAGTAGATTTGGATAATTTCGTACCGTTGTTCAAGCGTGAGTCTATTCATGATGGTTTGTCAGATTATATTGAAACAAATAAAAAAAGTTTCTTCAAAATTTAATTCTTTGTGTAACTTTTTACAATTTTAAGTTCTATCTAGCTTAAAAAAACACCCTTTATTAACAATTCTGTAAGAAGAATTTAAGGCAGTTATTTGAAGATGACGAAAAAAATTTCAAAATATTGGCCCACAGTTCCTCTTACCACCTAAGATAAGTTAGTTCTCTTCTTGCGGTATCTATTCCACAAATCAATATTTAATCAAATATTTTTTCCACCTCCGCTCGTAAATTGATCCACTTGTTATTTGGCTAACACAACTTTAGAACTTTACATATGTTTTACTTTTGTCGTGAAAAGCAGCGAGGGCATACGTAAGGCATTGAACAGGCCAATTTCATTGAATCCATAAAATAACTAATTTGCAATATAAAACCAGTAAGTCGGGCGGTATCGACTTTATGATACCCAACACCACTTTGAATATTTAGTAGAGCGCCGTGTAGCAAGCTAACGTTTATATTGTCAATATAGGTAGCAATTGCTGATTAAGGGTATAGAGCGGTTTAAATTTAAAGTAGGTTAAATCTAACATTTAAAAGCTATATCTCAATCGAATTCCACTTGTACAATAGAGTGCATAATACGGATTTGGGTGCCTTAGATATAAAATCAGGTGAAACATACATATAAGAGCCATATCCAAATCTGAACCGATCTTGGTAATATTTGGCAGAGGTATTTCTGAATTGTATCTGATATTATTGCTGTGAGGTGCATACTAAAAATGTGGGGGTTTTGAACATCAAATCGAATGAAATATATATATGAGAGCTATAGCTATGTCTGAACAAATTTTCACAAAATTTGGTACATTTGCTTTTAGGCTGAATTAGGTCGTATGTGCTAAAATTCACTCAATTTGGGCTAATATAAACCATTTGGCGCATAATAAACGTTAAATCGGTTAAAGATATATGTGGGAGCTATATCCAAATCTGAACCGATCTTGAAAAAAATGGCAGAGGTATTTCTGAGCTGTATTTGATACCTGGTACCCAATATTATTATTGTAGCGTACATATTACGAATGTCGGGGGCTTAAACACCAAATCGGGTGAAACATATATATGAGATATATAGCTATATCTCAAACGATTTTCACCAAATTTAACGTACCTACTTATAGTCGTATGTGCAAAAATATATTAGCTTATATTACGCATTTGGTGCACAACAAAGCTGAAATCGGGTGAATATATATGGGAGCTATATCTAAATCTGGACCGATTATCACCAATTTTGATAGGATTCGTCTTTGGGCCAAATAAATTATCTGCCCAATTATTCATCACAATCGAGCAATTGCATTTTGCTTACAAAAATACATGCACAGACGGACGAACATGCAAAAATCGATTCAGATTGTGATTCTATGAAGATCATCAAAAGGAAGATCATCAAATGGGTCTAGCTCGTTTCCTTTTGCCCGTTACAAACAAATGCAGTGTGGTGTCGGGTATAAAAACCCCTTTCTCTCATTATGGACTTTCTCAACAACTCAAAATGAGACATATCCCAACATACCAAAAATACAATACAGCTTGAGAATAATATTATAAAAATATAATTTTTCAACAATGCTTGAGAAACACTTATGTTCCATAAACTTTTCTCAAATCTGTCCTTTGTTGACAAATTAGTTTCGATTTTTTTTTTGTGAAAATTGTCAGGAAAAAATACTTTTCTTTGGTAAAAAGCAAAATCACGCGAATTTAGGACCCATTTCTGGACCGAATTCTTAAGGTATGGATGCATAATAAATCCGGGAATCTGTGATCTATATTATTTCAATCCCACTTCAGATTGGAGGCATCAAAAAAGTTGCAGGAATTCAATAGATGTGAAGTGGAAGAGTTGCAGAAGCTCAAATAAGGGAGAAGAAAGCGTCAGGGTATCAAGCCCACATGAGGCAGTGACTACT